GCCTAAGGTTCGAAGGGCCTATAACAAATGTGACCTTGGGAGTTAGTTGAGAATGTAACTGAAAAGTTGAGAATGTGTTCTTGGAAACTGTACAACATCATCCAAAGTTAGATCAGTTTGAGCATTGAAAATTTGTGGTGGATTTTAAAGTAATTTACTTAAACTAGAGCAAAAAACATTTAACTGACAAAATATATTAACTTTTTCAAATTACAGAATTGCTATTCAACTTAGCGAATTTAGTCGAATTTAGTTGAAATTCATGTGCAATCAAACAGATTCAGCAATCAAATGGCATGCACAAAATAAATAACATTTTTGTTGTTGCTCATATTTATTGACACATATCTAGGCAAGGTGTGTCCAATTCAAGCCAATCAGACCACAGTAATTCATATTATTGCAATGCATAAAATAATCAACCACGCATCAATTCTTATACACCCAAGCTATTTATAGATTTTCACTTAATTATGAAATTGGTGTACTTAGTTTCAAAAGAGTTTAAAAATAGCTTGGGTGTATAAGAATTGATGCGTGGTTGATTATTTTATGCATTGCAATAATATGAATTACTGTGGTCTGATTGGCTTGAATTGGACACACCTTGCCTAGATATGTGTCAATAAATATGAGCAACAACAAAAATGTTATTCATTTTGTGCATGCCATTTGATTGCTGAATCTGTTTGATTGCACATGAATTTCAACTAAATTCGACTAAATTCGCTAAGTTGAATAGGAATTCTGTAATTTGAAAAAGTTAATATATTTTGTCAGTTAAATGTTTTTTGCTCTATTTTAAGTAAATTACTTTAAAATCCACCACAACGTTCCAATGCTCAAACTGATCTAGCTTTGAATGATGTTGTACAGTTTCCAAGAACACATTCTCAACTTTTCAGTTACATTCTCAACTAACTCCCAATGTCACATTTGTTATAGGCCATTCGAACCTTAGGCTTAAAGTTGGATATACAGGGGCTTTTATTCAAACTCTTTGGTGAGACCTTAGGCCTAAGGTTTAGAATTATGAATTAAGACGTATTATACAATATTTTAAGGATGCATAACCAAAGGTGGGTTTTTTCGGATTTTGTAATGAGAAGACCTGAGGCCTAATTAATTGCTTAGAAAAGTAGATGGCATTAATATTAGTGCTTGAGATTCACATTCAGCTAATCAATATCTTTATGCGTAGAGCTATAAAAAGGAAATTTGGATGATCGAGGATCATAATTCGACACGTTCACTGACAAGTTAAAAAAAACGTGTATCTATCCCTATTTTTTGTTGCAGTCCACGTCTGCTGTACTCACGATGCCTCATATTCAATAGCAACAATTGCAATTGCACTCTTTATAATATACATACAATACCAAATACCATTATAATATGGATTAAGATAATCTGCCCTATTTATAATAAAATGTATAGTATGCTTAATCTAAAACCATTTTATGTGTACAGGAATATAGCGATCCATAAGCGCCTTACCTACAACACGCAAAATATGGCGAGGCGAAAAGTACGGTTAGCATTTGCATCAGTAATGATTATATTATTGGTTGTATACGGGTTCATCATTAAATTTAAACATATAGCAGAGATTGATATCATGTCTAAGTTGCCTATATATCAGAAGGATAGGGATACGTTCAACCAAATAAAGAACGATGATGTGGTCAATCGGGAACCAACAATAACCCCTTCAAAGGAAATAGTTACGCCGTTATTAACATCAGGCAGTGCACGGAAAAGTCGGAAAAATCCTAAACAGTTGTTATTCAGTTATATTCCGAAAGCTGGAAGTTCAGAAATACAAACTATATTAAGTATAGTAGTTGGAGGAGAAATCGAGATCTTTGGAGGGAGCGAATATATTAGCCGATACCAAGCTAACAAAACTACATTTTTTAAGAATAATTTCTTTCTTCAAAATGAAAGACAGCAACTGAAACCGGATATGAAATCTTCCTTTTTCGTCGTAGGGCATGTGCAAGCCCCGTGTAATTATCTACTTTCGTCTTGGACATATGGCTCAGATGGGAATGGCAATGTGTACAAGATGGCGAAGGATAAGAGTGTGTATGGGGTGACACCTCCTTATAATAACAAAGAAGACCTAGACAGACTCACCATGTGGTTACAAGATAATAAAAACATGTATACCAATAGGCTTACTTACAAATATTTCAAAACGGCCAAGTGGAAAACAGACATGAATTTGCGAAGCGCAGATTGCTGGATTCACACCGAAATGTTGATCTATGACTTGGTGAATTGCTTGAAACGATATGAAAAACAAGGGGGAAATGTAAAATGGGAAAACTTTCGGAAGATAAAGACGAAGATAGAGAATCCTAGTAATCATTCACAGTGTGGGGACTACTTTGACGATGAGAGAACGGCGTTGGTTATGGATTCCAATATGAAGATGGCAAAGATTTTTCGATATGAGAGCTGTTGTGTTGAAAGTAATACAACATTACCTGCAGGTTTTGAAGAGCTTTGGACCAATCATAATTAAGATATAGAAGTCCAAAAACTTATATTGTGGAACAGAAGTTTCGAACGTTTTATAAGACTCGTGGTATCTTAATTTACAGGGTGGTAACAAAATGAAAACGCTAATACCATTTTCCTCATATCATTGTCATTTTAAAAGATAACTCCCTGATATTTTACACTTTTGTACATCATTTAATTTGCTACCAGCCTATTTTATTTCATGACCATCAGATTGATAGTCACAATGTTGCAGTAATTTAAAGAACATGCCCATTGGCAACTATTGCGTTGTGGGGAAACCTGTACTCACCGTCTAAAATGTCTCTACCTGTTCGAATACGGCAAATATAGAGTGTGTGACAATGACATCAGGACAATTGCAAACCTCAAAAGTGAGATCATTCGTGTCATTCAGGCGATACCTGCTGAGGACTGCATTCGGGTAATTGATAACTGGGCTGTTTTGCCTACAGCGCGATGACGGCCAAATCTGAAGCATGTTATTTAAAGTGCTGTAAAATTGTGACTATCAGTCTGATGGTCATGAAATATGGTAGGGTGGTAGGAAATAGAATGATGTACAAATGTGTGAATTTTTTTACTGTGACAAATATATAAGGAAAATGCAGGGTTTCCATTTTTTGACCACCCTGTTTATATTAGGCTAAGTTCAGAAGAACATCATATTGTTATGTACAGCAGAGGTTTTGAACCCATCGAACCCCCTACACAATGTAAATGTGACATGTACATTATGATTATATACTGTTAGTCGCCTATAGCAGACACCTCTCAATTTATATCGCATATATTTCCGTACAGATAAACAGTGAAAATGCCATGACATTTCAGAAATTACATGTTTCATAAATAACTTACAATTACTGATCAAATCCAACCGAATTTGAATTCTTATTTTAATGTTCATCGGTTTTAAGAAATGTATTACAATTCATTGTATCAGTACGTTACTGTTGAATTTAAAAAGAAATCAAGTGCAAATATTTTGATGAATAAATTATACAATTGCAAACATCTTGAAACATTTACTCCAAAATATTGTTAGCTTCCCATTGTATTTGTATTGTAATGTGTTTTATTGTATTGTATCGTATTGTATTGTATTGTACATTGGACATAACCCCTAAGCTATGTCACTCTCATATCCCATCCATTTTTAGGTCAGTGAAGCATGCCAAAATCTCAAATAATCCAGGCATCTCCAGAGATCGTTTTTCGAAGGCTTTGATGTTTTTGCTTTCATCTTTACTTGAAAAACCGTTTTTACGGTAACCATGGTAACTATAAGGCGTTGGTAACCTTGACAACCTGATATTTGAAGGATATCCACCTATTGGTAGTTGGATCTTTTTGGCAAAAATAATATCTTCTACACAAATTTTGTGCATAAACGTGCATCTAGTTGAGCTAGTCATCTGAAAATCTCATGGAGTTGCTCCGTGAAGCCTAGTTTTGATGTGCTAAATAACAAGTCAGATATCATGTAGAGAAACAAGTTATGCAGTATTATGTGTCTGTTAAAGCTAAGGAGGGGAGAATATATTTATTGGACACCCTGTACATGTAAATGGATATCCCTGCCATGTTAGGTATGGCAAGTGATTTTAGACGATCATATATTTCACCATGAGTACTTCTGGCCATAAATACAATGGATTTTATTAAAACAATATATTTTCTTTCAAGTGAAGTCCCCACGAAAATAAAAATATCAACCCAACTCTCTGAAGAAGAAGTATGCACTAGGACCCTACTTCGACACTTTTTTAAGACGTTAGGCTTATTTTCTAAAAAGGATCTTGTTTTTCTCAATTTAAACATATCCAAAATTTCTTCTTCACTTTATTAACAATTCCTGAAAGGGGGTGGGGTTTGAATTGAGTTAAAGTTAAAAGCCACATACCCCATGATATTTTCCCATAGGGAAAACACATGCCATTCATAAATTTTTTTAGCATAATTTTGGTCATCGAAAATTGATTTTTAAACCATTCAACTTGACTTTTAAACCATTCTACTTCTGAAGAGGTTTCAGACCCCTTGTTGAATAATTTTTTCATGCAATAAAAATTAGAAAAAAACATCTTCTTTTGAGTAAATAGGTTCAACATTTTGGAAAAATTGTTGACATACTGAAATTGCTGAAAACGTATTCTTTGGTTTGTTTAATTTCAAAAGTATGGAATCATTGAGATGACACTAAAGATCTATTGAATCATTGGTTATTTCGCTGTGTTTGGCATAATGCTGATAAATTATTTATGAGTGGCACGAATGGCATGTCATCATGGGGGTTTATTTTCTGAGCCTCCCTCTCATATAAACCAAACGTTCGATCTGATGATGAACAAATCTTCAATAGCGTATCATGGCGAGACTAGATGACTTGATAAAAACATGCAAGATAATATTTGCATTTATACCTTTTGTCTTAACGGAGTGTACGACCTTCAATGGGAAGACCTTCATTAGAGAAAAGAAGACCGTCTTTATATCCGATAACAATTTAGGTCATCTGGGAACTCTCGAAATACGTTCGCACTCAGAATGTGTGATTGCTTGTCTAAATACAAAGCGATGCGGACATACAAACGTAAAGCAAATGACCGAAACGACGTTCAAATGTGATTTGCTTGAATGGGTAATAGGTGAAAAAGCCCACGTGGATGATACTGACCATTATTACGTCAGGGAACGTGAGTTGATCATAAATACTACTTTACATTGGAGGATAGATTTCATTAATAATGACAAACTTTTTTGGAAGTTTAGTACATCTAATTCAAATTTATTGGAGACAGCGCAGATGCTTACACTCCAAACTATCGTTTCTATAATATTTTACCCGCATTTATACGCAATTAACAAAGGTTTGTTTCAATACTCAAATCCACCAGAGTCAACTTAGTTACTAATGCCTGGGTCACATTTGCTCCGATTCATCGGCCGGCGCCCGGCCGATTGGATGTTTTGTTCAATATTGTATTCAATTCTGATCAAAATACTCAATCGGACGGGCGCCGTAGCGGAAATCGGAGCAAATGTGACCCAGACATAAACGATGATCACTTGATCATAAAGTAAAAATATGTTTCCTAATAATTTGTTAATTCAAAAACAGATAGAGACGCTATGTTCAAATTTATATACTGGTTAACTTGTGGTTATCGGACATCTGCTGAAAATATTTTTCGAAATCCCAAGTTGAATCACTTTTATAAAAAAAATGTAATTTTAGTTATCGAATTTTATAGGGTATAATAATTGTAATGGGTCAAAATAAGATATCTTCTCAATAAGTAGTTTCTATTATGAGTTACACAATCCAAAGTACACTTTCCGAATACTTTCACTATTTTGCCTTCTGTTGCTGTGCGTCATTCCGTTCACTCGGTGCTTTCTAATTATTCCTATCAATGGATGTATTCTGGTCCCTACATTTTACAATAAATAGCATACACGAGTATTTCAATGCTATTTAATTTTTATTGCATTCCCTATTTCAATTTCATTAATTTGTATATTCTAGTATATGTATATGCTTTGTCAATTTAGCGCCAAACCTCAATACACGTTAATGTTTATTATAAAAGTATTTTTGTTTTTAATGATCGACGACATGCTTTGCAGAAGAAATGATCAGAATTTCAATATAAGCATGTCATTTTTAATAAGATTTCGGGTTTGATTGCGTGCATCAATTTGATTTCAGAATGGAATCTAAGTAGCATTGAGTATTGAGGGGTGACATTAAATCAATGTAAATTCTTTTTCGGGGGAGGGGTGTCAGAGGGGGATGTGGTCGCACTAAGCGCACCCCCCCCCCCATCTGACGGTCCTGTTAAGACGTAGAAATGAAATATGATTCTATAACATTTGAATGGTAATATATGAAGTGCTAAGACGTGCAATATTTACAAAAAATTCAGCAAAGTTGACCAGCGAATAGAGAGTTTAAGCTTGCATAAAAAATCGAAACGCCAACCTTTACGTATGACCAATCGCCCATACAAATACATCGCTTAAATATTTTCCGTTCGCGTTTAGGTTGTGAAAAACATTGCAAGCTTAAACTCCCTATTGTCTATCAACTCAATATCCAATTCTCCCCACATTCAATGGACTTGTATCAAATCTAGACAATTGAGTGTATCTAGTTGATTATTTCAGTATGACGCAAGTTTATCAACAAATAATACTTGTGAAAGAAGTGTAAGTAAGTTCAATAAGTGCTTTACGTTTGTTAACAGTTATCTTGTGTTTTACATAATCAGATTTCCTATTTAAGTTCTCCTCAGCAAGTTTTCAACAGTAAATTACCAAAAGAATAGCTGAATTTCATGAATCCCATACATAACGTACTAAGAGTAATTGTACTTTTACAACATACATTTTTGAATGCTTCGAGAAACACGCCTGCTTACGAGTCTTATTATATCGTTTACCAATTAAATAGCACTCAAAAGATTCTAAAAATGTTTCACTCGTTTTAAAGGGTTACAAAAAGGTTCCAGGATGAAAAACAAAATTGAGAGTTTGAAAATTTAAAAGTTTATTGAAACTGTCTTCCTCATGATCAATCCCCCCCTTCCTTCCGGCCGAACCACGGTTCTAACAACGCGAATATCGATTCTTTAGTCGCTATCTACAAGTTCCCTTCTCCCAAACATATTTCTCCACTATGGCACCGAATTCCCACATCACGAACCACACAGCTTTATGGTTCGCAATGTTGGATCTCCGTTCGTGAGAGGAGAAATATGTTCGGGAAAGAGGAATTGGTGGTTCGCGACTTAAGACTCGATAATCGCACTGTGAGAAGCGTGTTTTGGTACCAATGGGTGACTTTGATTCTAGCATGCGGCGTGGGCTTATATGAACCCTGTAGCTACAAAGGCGCCATCTATTGTTCCTACAATGTGTGTTATTGATTCTAGCATGCGGCGTGGGGTTATATGAACCCTGTAGCTACAATGGCTCCACCTATTGTTTCTACAATGTGTGTTATTGATTCTAGCATGTGGCGTGGGCTTATATGAACCCTGTAGCTACAATGGCGCCATCTATTGTTCCTACAATGTGTGTTATTGATTCTAGCATGTGGCGTGGGCTTATATGCACCCTGTAGCTACAATGGCGCCATTTATTGTTACTACAATGTGTGTTATTGATTCTAGCATGTGGCGTGGGCTTATATGAACCCTGTAGCTACAATGGCGCCATCTATTGTTCCTACAATGTGTGTTATTGATTCTAGCATGTGGCGTGGGCTTATATGAACCCTGTAGCTACAATGGCGCCATCTATTGTTTCTACAATGCGTGTTTTTGATTCTAGCATGTGGCGTGGGCTTATATGAACCCTGTAGCTACAATGGCGCCATCTATTGTTCCTACAATGTGTGTTATTGATTCTTGCATGTTGCGTGGGCTTATATGAACCCTGTAGCTACAATGGCTCGACCTATTGTTTCTACAATGCGTGTTTTTGATTCTAGCTTGCGGGGTGGGCTTATATGAACCCTGTAGCTACAATGGCGCCATCTATTGTTTCTACAATGTGTGTTATTGATTCTAACATGTGGCGTGGGCTTATATGAACCCTGTAGCTACAATGGCGCCATCTATTGTTCCTACAATGTGTGTTATTGATTCTAGCATGTGGCGTGGGCTTATATGAACCCTGTAGCTACAATGGCGCCATCTATTGTTCCTACAATGTGTGTTATTGATTCTAGCATGTGGCGTGGGCTTATATGAACCCTGTAGCTACAATGGCGCCATCTATTGTTCCTACAATGTGTGTTATTGATTCTAGCATGTGGCGTGGGCTTATATGAACCCTGTAGCTACAATGGCGCCATCTATTGTTCCTACAATGTGTGTTATTGATTCTAGCATGTGGCGTGGGCTTATATGAACCCTGTAGCTGCAATGGCGCCATCTATAGTACCTACAATGTGTGTTATTGATTCTAGCATGTGGCGTGGGCTTATATGAGCCCTGTAGCTACAATGGCGCCATCTATTGTTCCTACAATGTGTGTTATTGATTCTAGCATGTGGCGTGGGCTTATATGAACCCTGTAGCTACAATGGCGCCATCTATTGTTCCTACAATGTGTGTTATTGATTCTAGCATGTGGCGTGGGCTTATATGAACCCTGTAGCTACAATGGCGCCATCTATTTTTCCTACAATGTGTGTTATTGATTCTAGCATGTGGCGTGGGCTTATATGAACCCTGTAGCTACAATGGCGCCATCTATTGTTCCTACAATGTGTGTTATTGATTCTAGCATGTGGCGTGGGCTAATATGAACCCTGTAGCTACAATGGCTCCACGTATTGTTTGGGTATTAAGTTTGGTGATGATATAATTTAATGTTTGTTATTTGCCGATGATATTGCTATATTGTCTGAAAATGAGAAGAACTTGCAGGAATTGTTAAATCTAGCTTATAAGTGGTGCCATAAATGGAGAGTTAATGTTAATATTGATAAATCCAATATAGTGCATTATCGTAAAAATAGTACTCCCAGATCAGATTTCAAATTTACATTTGGAACAAAGCATTTAGAAACCGCCACGCAATATAAGTATCTTGGATGTATATTAGATGAAACACTTAACTTCACTACAACTGCCGAAAATCTAAGCGCAGCAGCAGGCCGAGCTTTGGGGGGCCTCATCACAAAATTTAGGAAACACAATGGACTTTTCTATACAGCATACACAAGACTTTATAACACATGTATACTCCCAATTTTGAATTATGGGTCCGGCGTTTGGGGAAACAAAACTTATCAATGTACTGACAATATCCAACACAGGGCAATGAGGGCATTTCTAGGTGTGCATAGATTTGCATCTATCCC